CGCCCGGGCCGGGGGGCGGGGCCTGGCCTGCGGGGCGGTTACTCCGGCAGCGCACACCCGGAAACAGTCTCTCCAACGCTCAAAACCGGGAGAAGCGTCACCACTGCGGCCGCCACCGCCCACCGTCACCTCCTCAGTCATGCCGGTAAGTGGCCGCCCCGCCGCCGCCCCGCGCAGACTCGCGGCGCCCGGTTTGCGCCTCGGCTGCACTGCTGCTTGGCCAGATGTCGCTCTCCAAGGGCTCAGACCGCGGGCTGAGCCATTGTCCCTCCTCTCAGCCCTCCGCACCCAGCCCCCAGCTTCTGAGACGCTTCAGAAAATCGGAACCGAAAGGGGTTTTATGTAGGAATCAGGTTTCTGAACATCGAAAGTGCCAGGCTTCCAGTGATTACAAGCCCAGCCCTTTCCTGAATAGAGGAACAGACCCAGAAAAGGACAGAATCGCCCGAGATCACACAGGTCGTGGTGGCGAGCTGGAACTGGGACGCCTAGTCCCTCCGCTTTCCACCTGGATCCCGCTGTCCACGGAGCTGGCCTGAAAGAAAGGGGCGGGGCGGCTGTTGCCTCACTGACGGGAAAGGCTTTCAAAGGTCCGTGTTTTTCTTCCCTTCCCCTGCCCACTCTGGCCGACTTTCAGGTTAACGCTGAGTGACAGTGGATGGAGATAGTGCTTTTTATCTTGCCTAACGGTCACTTTCTGAGCCTGAACCCATGAGCCCCGGAGAGGTTCAGGGATCTGCCTAAAGTCGCCAGTTGCTCAGTGGCAGTTTGAGAGGAATGAGGTCTTCAATGTACTTTGCAGTGAGTCTTTCTGCATATATGTGATTGCTCATGGCCTCATTTTGTAGATAAGAAATTAAGGGCTTTTGCAGATTAAAAAAAAAAACAACAACATAACTTATTCAAGGTCATGTTGGAAGTTGGATGGAGCCAGGATTAATTCTCTTTTCTTCAGACCCCCAATCTATCCTGGCCTGCCCACATGGGAGGTGCAGACAAAAGTAGTCATACTGGTTTGGGAGGAAGCTTTGATCCCAGTGGCATTCTAGAGATCCTGGTTGGGTCATGTGTTTAGCACTTTCCCCCAGGGTGCCTACTTCACAGGTCTGCTCCGAGTACTCAGAGATGTCCCACAGATGCCCTGTGTCTTAGCAGCCTAGCTTTGGGGAGCTGACAGGTGAGCCAGAGGCCCCATGGGCCGGGCCACAAACATATCAGATGTCATTTCCCTTGAGTCTTGGCAGATGCCTTGAGACAAATCCTTGGGCAACACCAACTATGGACAAAGAACCTGACAGTATTGGCCCTCCCAACTGAGCAAATCTGCCTGTGGCAATGTTAGAGAACAACATTAATCATCCTAGTACTGGGATAGTACAGGCCATCAGGTTTTTGTGGGGGGTGGCAGTTAGGGGAAGGCCAGCTCGAGGATCGCTATTCTATGTTCACTTCTGGAGACTTAGACAAACAAAAGACCCTCCAGAGAGGATGATCGGAATGAAGAGGGCACTGGGCACCATATCATGAGATGAACAGCTGAAGGAGGGAGGCTATTACTGAAGGGCCTGCCATCAAAACTGGAAGGGGAAGAATGTGTCACCTGAGAAGTTTCTTAAACGCATGGAATCTCAGAAACCTTTTGGAAAATATGTGCTCATGGTCTCCTTTGTTTGTTTCAGAGGCACGAGTTCTCCGTAGACATGACCTGTGAAGGCTGTTATAATGCGGTCGCTAGGGTCCTCAACAAACTGGGAGGTGAGTGAATGGCTCTCAGCTGGGGATGGAGTAGGGGACAGCAGTACACTTATATCATGTTTAAATGCATACAGACGTGAAGCAGAAGAAGCTTCAGTTTAAACTGATAATAACAGTAAAGCTAAGATGTATTAAGTTCTTAGCATGTACCAAGTACTATGCTTAGAAGCTTCTGTGGATGAAGTCATTTAATCTTCATAACCATTTAGGTAGCTAGCTTATTTGACTATATCCATTATAAGCAGGAGGGAACTGAAGTTCAGAGAGGTTAAGTAACTTGATTGGGATCACACAGCCAGTAAGTGATAGAGCTGGGATGTGGCCATGCAGTCTAGCTCCAAAGCCATGGCAGCACTAGTTAGTGTGTTGGTGATCTCCAGTGGAATAACTTGTTATATGATACATTTGAGTATCATTTTATATTAAGATTTTTTTAATTTTAACAATTTAAAATATAAACTTTGAATCAGTCTTGTGCAAAACTCCTAAAGCATCTCTTTTGGACATATTTAGAAAATTATTATTCTCATCCATCCTTGTCAGATCTCAGCTCAGGAATCTGAGGCCCAGAGCAAGCTGGGGTCTGGTCCTGGGGCTCCATGAGGTCATGACTGAGCTGTGATCAGAGTTCTGGTAGTGCTGGGGCAGCCAGTCTTCTAAGATCTCCGTTTTAAAACCCTAGATAATGATAACACCCAGTTTTCAAACGGCTTCCATATGAGTGTGATCTCATTTGCACTTAAAGCAGTCCTCCGAACTGTACTTTCCATCTGTGGAATGGGGATGTTGACACCAATGGCTAGGAGGGGAAGTGACTTGCCCAAATTCCCACCATGAGTCAAGAGCTGATTTCTAGTGTTGTTAGCTAGCATCTTAATTTGAACCTGAAACAGTGGAAAGAACCTTGCTGCTGACTTGCCATTTGACTGTGGCCTCTTCTCCTTGGGGTCTAAGTTTCTCCAGCTATAATATGGGAATGTCTGTCTGTATCAGCTTTTGTTATGGATACTTTGAATGAACTTCTGCTTGGAAGCCCCTCATACACAGAGCAGCACGGTCTGGGCGAAGTGAGGGTGGGCCTGCTTTTACTCTTGACAGCTTGAGGACACCTGCCCAAGAACTGGGCTGCAAGAACACAGTTTGAAATCCACCGTGTTAGATGATCCCAAGGCTTCTTCCAGCTCCATGATGCCATCAAAATATTTATTCCAAAGAGGAGAGAGACATTTCCGAGCCAAAAGACAAAAACCCAGAGTGCAGCAAGGACACATTGCAACCCCTCCCCACCCTGGGTATCCATTAGGTACAAATTCAGACATTATAACTAACCCTGTGCCGTGAGAGTTTTTAAGGCCCCTTCACTGATGCTTGGGGATCTGACTTTGAACTTTGGCAGGTTTCTCCCCATCTTTCACTACTGTACCGACTAGGCTATTGAGATGGGTCAGAAGGGATTTCGAGTCGATTAGGGCTTTAGATGCTAGGCCTGAGGAATCACAGACTAATGGCATACTTGAACTGGAAAGACCACAGGGGCTGGCCAACCCCAACTCCTTCATGTACAGATAGGGAAACTGAGTCCTGTAATGGGCAGGACCCAACAAATCAGTGAAGCCATACCAAGAACCTAGCAAGGGCCTTCTCTCTGCATTCTGTTGTCTCAATAAGACCCAGTCTACATACTGCCATGTGCCATTTGGAGGCTTTAAATTGGCACAGCCCTTTAGGAGGGCAGTTTTGCAGTAGCTGTTAACACTGAATGTTGTAAATGTGCCAGTCCGTGGCCCCACAATTTCCACTCTATGAATTCATAGTACAGAAATACTTTACAAGTTTTGTACAATATCTTCAAGTATGTTTACTTGAAGGACTCAGGACTCAGTTTCCCTATCTGTACATGAAGGAGTTGGGGTTGGCCAGCCCCTGTGGTCTTTCCAGTTCAAGTATGCCATTGTATAGCATTGTTGTGATAATAGTGAGAAATTGGAAGCAACCCCCATCTCCTTCAGTAGGGCACTGAGTAGATGTATGGTACAGCCACAGTATGGAATATGGTATAGTGGTGGAAAAAAAGGATGAAGTAAGTCTGTATGTGCTAAGATGGCAAGGCAAGATATCTTGGCCATTTGAAAGTGAAATGTGGCAAAACCTGTTTCTACAGTATGATGCTATTTGGGGGGATTATTTTTCATTTACCTATCAGGAAGAAAGACTGGAGAGATGCCATACTGTTCACAGTGATCTCTAGAGGTTGGAGATAGTAGGGGCCTTACACTTTCAAATTTTATTCAGAAGTGTTTGCCTTTTTAAAATAAAAATGGTGTATCTATATTACTTTCGCCATTAAAAAAGAGAAGAAATTTAAAAGAAGCCCTAGTCTCGAGAGCAGGGATCAGCAAACTATAGCCTTACAGGGAAAGTTTCCTGATTCCTGGTCGAGAGGAAAGGGAAACAATGGTTGTGAATAAGGATTTCAGAGCCTGAGCTCTGACTGTGAGTCTTTGCTTCCACTCCATCCCCCTACACCCCGCCCCCCACTTCCTCTTCCTGCAGGAGTTCAGTTTGAGATTGACCTGCCCAGCAAGAGGGTTTCCATCGACTCTGAGCACAGTGTGGATGCTCTGCTGGAGACTCTGAGGAAAACGGGGAAGACCGTTACCTATCTCGGCCCGCAGGACCAGTGAGGACCTGGGCCCTCCGCCTGCAGGATGGACCAAAGTGGGCAGAAGGGTGAGGCCCCAGCACTTCAACAAAATAGTTCATTATCTAATGCAAATCACATGTCCAGGGAATCCTTACAGCCCTCTGTGAATGGAGATTACACTGTGTCATGTCTCCCAGGGTCCCCTTCACGTGTAGAGTGCATTTCATGGTCAGCCAGGTTTAAGTTTAGAGCGCATGACCTTAAGCACTGTCTTTTGCTTTGATAAGTTGAGTGTCCCATCAGAGATAACACCTATGCTCTGATCAGGTAAGTGAATTAAGAGTGGCGCAAAAATAATTGAGTGTCTAAACTGGATATTCCCTTTGGTTCTACATGATCCAGGAGGCAGATGAGTGGCACTGTGGCAGCACACTTCACCATGGAACTGGGATGTTACTCATCCATCCGACATTCCTTTCTTCTGTGCCCAGCCAGTCTCAGAATCCTTCACAGCACAGCCCTCCTAGCTTTTATTCCCCATGTAGTGCATTTCATACACGAATTACAATGACTGCCACATCCGTGATGTGGTTCAGTGCTCTCACTATAACTGAAAAAATTGAGGCCTGGAGAGGGGAAGTGGCGTGACTGAAGCCCCACCCAGGTGTGTGGCAGAGGCAGGATGACAGGCATCTGAAATCAGAGTTCTATAATGACTGATGGCATTGTCCCCTGAATGGGCCCATACAGAGCTCCCCAGGCAGAGGTCAGCTACAACTGGCTGGTAGGCCATGTCAGTCCCTTGGAATATAACCTCCTTCCTAATGGTGTCCATTGGAATCTGAGTGGGGGCAGTGTCCTGTGTAAATAATGACCTCACGTGCAAATCACGAAATGTCAGATGTGTGTGTTTTCCTCACCCCCTTTCCATCCGTGGATACAACCCATGTTCAGGAAGGAGCACAGGATGAATAATCACAACTCCAGGATTCTGATTCCAGCCCTGCCCTCATTTAACACTGTGACTTTGGACACTTCTGCTTACATGCTTTCAGTCTTTCCATCTGTAAAATGGGGCTACAACCTCCCTCCTGCTTTCCTGCCTGGTTGGGGTTACTATGTAATTCCTCTAAATATGAGGTTTATCCTCAAAGAGAGGCTGATGGTTCCACCATGCTGCAGATCAGTGTTCATCATTCCTGCATTCCTAGGGTTTTAAGGGGAGACTGAGTGGGTGGGGTTCTGGGCCCCTCCATCTATCCCAAATAGCCCTATTTCATATTGGGCCTCCATGTAAAATTGTGTTTGATGAAAAGTGATCTGACAAGGAGGGATGGATGGAGGGGAGGAAAAGAAATAACTTCCTGAGTTGGCTATACACATGTGGGGGCCCTAGTGCAGACCTTGAATCAGAATATCCTGGCCTGGGCATGTGAGTTTTTTGTTTTTTGTTTTTTTGTTTTCACTAAAAATGTAATACCTGCCAGTTGTAAACCATGCATGGCATAATGTTTTTCTTAGTGTTTTTTTTTTAATTGAGGTGAAATTCACATAACATGCAGTTAACTATTTTCGAGTGTACCATTGGTTGGCATTTAGTGTATTCACAGTGTTGTACAATCACCACGTCGCTCTAGTTTCAAAACTTTTTCATCACCCCAGAAAAACTCCTTATACCCACGAAGTAATCTCAGTGTCTCCTCTCTCCTTCCCCTGCCAACCACTAATCTACTCTCTGTTTCTCTGGATTCACCTATTCTGGACATTTCATAGAAAAAGAATCACATAATATGTGACCTTTTTTTTCTGGCTGCTTTCACTTGGCATCATGTTTTTAAGAGTCATCCAAGCAGTAGCATGGATCAGTACTTCATTCCTTTCTATGGCTGGATAATTGTGCTAGTAGTTTGCCTGTGTTAGCTTTTTTATCATAGGAAGTTTCACACATCTAAAAGTAGAGTAGTAAAAGTGAATCCCCCCTGTATCCCATCACGCAGATCCACCAATAATGCAATCATTGCCATCATTATTTCATCTGTGGCCCACTCCCCCACCCCCATATTGTTCAAAGAAAATTCTAGACATCATATAATTCTATCTGAACATAAGTCAGTAACCATGTGTAGTATGGGAAGGCTTCCTGAGATTTCGATGTACACCACTGGGTGAGAATCACCAATCAAGCAAGCTTTACCCCACAGTTTGTTTTAAGCCCCCACCCCCAACCCCACCCCATGACTGATTTGAATCCAGGTTTGGGAACCAGAGAGAGAATGTTTATTGGTTATGAAGTCATCATCTTGATCATCTGACTCTTCGCAGATTTGTTTGCTCGTGATTTTTGTTCATTGCCTTCCCAGTGTAAGTTGAAATGGGACAGGGAGTGCCATCCCAGCAGCCCTGGGGTTCCCCAAAAGGGTGATCTGCTTAGTAAGGTTAATGGGTTCTCATCAAACTGAGTATAACAGACTTGGTGGGAGTCACGTACAGGGCTGAACACTGGGCTTCTAGTCCTGCTCTGGCATCTGGGTTTCCCACCTCATCCCAACTGCTTCTTAGCGAACCTTTACTGTTTCTGCAACGCTTCCCTGTGCACAGCAGATGGCGCCTTTGTTCCACCTAACTTCTCATCTCTTCCAGGCCACCATCCTTTCCTGCCTTCCAGACAGATCTGGAACCTGACAATCCTGCTCAACAGTGAAAGTTCCTGCGGAGACCCTCACTTGCCCTGCTCCTCCTAGCTTCCCTGCAATAAAGTTGAGCAGCTTTTGTTGGAGATGTTGTCTCTTACGTGGTCTTCATGTCACTTATGTGCTATGCTGTGATGCTCATGCGTTGCTATGAAGGAGATAATTGCAATGCTTACTTGGGCTGGAGTTCTAAGAGCTCCCAGCTGAGACTAGGGGGCCCAGTGGATTCTGATTCTTTGCCGTGTGATCTTTTGCAAGTCAATTCCCTTCTCTGAGCCTCACTTTTCCTCATCTATAAAGTGAAGGTGTTGGGTCAGATGGGTGGTTGCCTTTCTTTTCACTACTTTCTTAGACTCTGTGTTTTGAAAACATTGTCAAGTGAATTGCAGTTAAGGAATATCAAATCTTAAAGCAGTTAGAAGAGTGGGAAGAAGCGTTGAAGACAGACTGCCTGGGAGAGAGTCCAAGCTCAAGTACCTCCCAGCTGGGCCCCTGAACCTCTTGCTATCCATAGGCATAAAATGTGATAATAGCATCTACTGCAAAGGGTGGTTGTGGGGATTAAATGAGGTGACACATGTAAATAACTTAGAGTAGTGCTTGCCAGTTGGAAATCACTCAGTAAACATTCTCTACTCACATATTTTTTCGTGTTTCATTAATCAAAGATCTGTAGAAGTGCAGATTAGAATTTTGGTCAGCCTAAAAATTAGTGCCTCACAGCACAGTTGATTCAACTATTAGCAAAACAAAGGGACTGTTTTAGTCTGTGTAGCTTTATTTTTTTTTAAATATTGCTTTAAACCAGCAGCTCTCAAACTTTCTTGTCTTAAGACCCATTCACACTCTTAAAAATCATTGAGTATCTCAAAGAGCTTTTGGTTATATCAATTGAGCCATATTAGAGATTAAATAGAAATTTTTGAGACCAGAATACACAAACACGCATTTCATTAGCCACCAGGACTAGATGAGGTCATTGCACAGCATTTAGGCTGTGGAAACTTCACTGATTAGGAGAGAGAAAGAGACCTTCTGGCAATAGTTTTTACCTCACGTGCCTTCTGAGAATCTTGGGGACCACACATTGAGAATCACTGCTTTAACCACTTACTGGGCAGATACTAGCATAAGACCTGACTCTGTACTTGGCCACCTGTGACTTTGAACCAGTCGTTTCTCCCAGAGGCAGTTTCCTCATCTGCACAATACACAATACCTGTACCTTGGAACTTGGTAGCCAGGAATAAGACTGTTGCAACTCTAAACTGTGTGCAACATAATTTGGTTCCATTATGAAGTTCTTATACATGGCTCAGTCACTTCGGCCTCTGTGGTCCCTCAGGGGCATGGGACTTTCCCTTCTGGGTATCTGGGTTTCTTGGCCACAGGATGGCAGTGTCCTTTGGGTTTGACCATCCCCGGAGAAGTCCATTTCTGTGGGCTCTGGGAATATGAACTTGAGTTTTTCCATTCTCACAGCTTCTCCAGGAAATCTGGTGTAAGCTGGCTGGCCCTTTGGGAACAGCTGAGAATTGAGACACTGGTGCCTCTTGGGGCCAGTGCTTCTGGGAGGTGTTTCTTTCCTTCAGCTCTCTGTATCACCATGACCTGCTGGAATCCAAGTTTCCAGCTGAGGCCCTTTGTCCTGTTCTTCGAGGCCCCAAAGGAGCTGGGGAAGCTCTGTGCCTGCTAGCAGCCCAACTAGCTGTCCAAAGAACAAGTGTCTTCACACAGCAGAGCACTGGCTTCTACAGGGGTGGGAGTAGGGAGCAAATGTGTGCTTCCTCTAGCCCCTGGCCCAGCCCACCTTTCCAGCCTTTTCCAGCCCTTGCTCCTCCTGTGTCCCCCAGGTGTCTTGCTTATGTTCGTGCTGCCCCCCACCCCTGTATATAGAATGATCCCCTCCACCCGCCTCTCCTCCCCAGTTTGTGTCCATGTACAAATTCCTTTCCCTCACATACCACAGCTTCCACAAAACCTCTCCACAACTGGAAGTAATTTATTTCTCCTCTTGGCCTTCACAGCATTCATCCCACTAGCTTCAGTGATGTGGCAAAGCTTTTGGTCCACGTGTCCTATCCTCAAAGATCAGGCCTGATACCACAGAACAGGCACTGAGGAAATATTTGGTGGGCGTGTAATGGCTGCCATTTGGGAGGCGTTTGTCTGTCATGCCCTTGCATTGATTTCATTCTATCCTATCTGGTCCCCATGAGACAGAGGACGAGCCCAATAGTATTAAGCCATACTCTGGACTTATCTGGGTTCAAATTCTGCTTCCACCACTTGATAACTACACAGCCTTGGGAAAGTTACTGATTCTTTAGTGAAACTCAGTTTCCTCATCTGTGAAATGGGGATCATAATAGTACCTACCCTACGTGACTATTGTGACAAATAAGATCCATCGCAGGCCTAATGCTTGATGATGGCATTCCACAAATAAAGCTTTTTGTTTGAACAAAAAATATCACGATTATACAATTTGAAGTTTGAAAAACTGAAATTTGCAAAATTTAGGTCCAGATCCTTTCAACCCTGGCAGACTATGAAAACTAAAAATGGAACCTCAAGCCCCACACTGTGTGGGAGGTGAGCGGCGGCTGTTTGGGATGCAGCCCTCTCCATAACATTCTCCTTTAATTAGAGCCAGTCTCTTAAAAATCCCAAGTCTGTAATTTCTGGGGAGTGTCCATCAGAGCTGCTTTTAGATTCCATGTATTTAGGGGCTGTGGCTACACGGTTTAAGGGGACAAGTTTTCTAATCTGCTTCTTTAGAGGGGGAAGGTCTGCAAATCTCATGACTGCCAACAGGAGCCTTGAAATAAAATATCAAATCCTCTGAAATTAAGGATGCTACCTCCCATTGGTTTCCTTATCATGGATTCCTAGCATTCTAACCCTTATAGAACTGTGGATCCCCGGACAGCTAGAAGCAGGCTGTATCTTGGATAAGGATGCAGGCTCTGGAGATAGGTGGGGTCAGTCCCAGCCTGGCTGTTTACCAGCTCCGTGAGCTTGGACGAGTTGCATAACTGTCTAGAATCTTGTTTTTCTCATCTGTAAAACAAGAATGATAACTATAACTTCTTAGAGTGAAGTGACATAGATGATGCATGCACACAGAGGGTGCTCATCTTGGCTACTGTCACTATCACTGCAGGATCTCAGGAAAGGGGAAGATCTAGTTGGTCACTCAGTCCAATATGCATATCCTCTCCCTCTGCAGGTGGCCCCAAGCCTTAGTCCTCACGCCATCCCTGAGAAGCCCCAGGAGCAGCTTGCTCTGCTCTGGACAGCTCTGTGAGGGAACGTTCTGGTGTCGAACCCACTCTTGTCTCCCTGGCACATCTCATGACTGAGGCGGGACTGTCCTGACACACGGGGCATCCATCTAGCTCTTCCTCATGGTGGCTGCTCAGAGGCAGAACACACCTTCCCTTTCCATCCCTGCCACCCCTCCCTGGTATACCCCACAAGGAATATGCCAAGTTCCCTCCCTCAGCCTTTCTTCAGGGACAGAGCTGGAGTTATCAGACCACCTGGCACTAGCCCCTTGGTAGATGCCCTGTTGATAGTGGAAGCTGAGAAAACGTGGCAAAGGGCAAGCAGTTCTGGGCCCGCACTGATCCAGCTCACAAGGTTTCCCTTCTCAGCATGGAGAGCTGGACGGAGTGGAGAGAGCATGAGGTCATCACACAGAGGGAGCCTGGCTGGGCAGGTTACTCAGGCCCCTCTCCTCCAGGAAGCATGGCTCCACACGGCACCCACTTCACGGGCGATGTGCATAAAGCTCCCAGTGTGTGTTTGGCACTCAGTGCTGGCACTCTATTTTACATTTCTGACCTTATGCCCCCGAATCCTACCACTGTGTAAAAGGACTGTCAGTCAGGCCCCACCCAACATCAGACCTGGCCCCTACTCTGCTCAGTCACTGCCCTACCCATGGGTCCAGTCTGGAAATAGCCCTCACTGAGGCAGCCATTTGTGGGTATCTAACTCCCTTTGTGGTCTAAACAGAATCTGTGGTTCGCTCTATGTCCCTAGTAGTTAGAGAGGCCAGAAAAGCCATTAAGATGGTAGGGACGGCTAGAGTGAGAGTTGAAGGCTAAACTCTAAAGGAAAAGCAACGTGGAGTCTCTGAGATCTCCAGGTCCCCCTCCGGGCCTGGGATACCTCACTTCGGACCCTCTCGCCATCACCTCAGGCCTCTGCCTCTTCCCCAGACCAAACACCTGCAGAGATGGCAGGTGCCTTGAGGAATACTAGAATATTAGAACTAGACGGGCCTCTAGGAATAAAAAGTCCTACTGTCTCATTTGTTGGTATTATTATATTATTATATTATTAATGGAAATATCTAACTTATTATGATGAAATAAGAATTATTAAAAATTTAAATAATCTTATTTATTTACCAGTCCCCACCTACCCCTCCTCCCACCATCCCCCTCAAACTCCATATAACAAAGAAAATTCTCTTACTTTTGGGTATATATCTTTCCAGGTGCCTTTTAGGCTTATGTAAATATACATAAGTAAACATAAAAGGCAATAAACTATAGTGTTTCAAAGCTCAGGCTCTGGAGTTAGACTACATGGGTTCAAACCCTAGTTTCATACCTTGCTGGCGAGTTATTTAACCCATCTAGACCACTGTTTCCCCATCAGTAAATTGGAGATGATTACATTTATATCATAGGGTGGTTCTGAGAATTAAACGAGATAATCCACATAAATCATTTGGCACAGTGGCTGGTATAGAGGAGACTCAATGAGTGTTAACCATTTTATTAGTATTGATGTTTTATAACCTACTTCTTTCACTAAATAGTTCGTGGACTCACTTTCATCTCAAATATGTGTATTATCTGTGGCTGAGCTACATAGTCGCAACAGATACCACATGGCCCACAAAGCCTAACAGAAAAATTTTGTCAATCCATCGTCTAGATCAGTGATTTCAAGCTGTGCTCTATGGAAACCTGAGATTCCATACAGGCATCTCAGGGAAAAGGGGCAGGGGGACTCCAGGCCTTCTGCACCTTTTTATCAAGGTTGATTCTCTTATTTGTTAAAATTAACTAGTTGTTTGACCAAACACTTATGGAAGAAATTATACCAATTCTCTCTCTACAATCTCTCTCAGAGGATAAAAGCAGAGGGAATTCATCCTAACTCATTCTATGAGGCCAGCATTATCTTAATACCAAAACCAGACAGACATTACAAAAAAAGAAAGCTACGAATCAATATCTCTCATGAAGAGAGGTGCAGGACTCCTCAACAAAATATTAGCAAATCAAATCCAACAATGTGTAAAAAGAATTACATACCACAAGCAAGTGGGATTTGTTCTCGGTATGCAAGGCTGGTTTAACATTCAAAAATCAATGAATGTAATCCATCACATCGATAGACTAAAAAAAAAAAAAAAAAATCGCATGAGTACATCAATGCCGAAATAGCATTTGTAGAAAATCCAAAAGGATCGGGGTTCAGAGAGCTTCCAGGTTGGTGAACACAATTACAACACAGGGAAGGCGGTGCACCCCAACTCCACAAGAACAGAAGCTCCTGCGCTGGGGACCCTCCTAGACCTTGCCCTATGAATCCCTTCATCTGGCTGTAAACGTGTATCCTTTATCATTTCCCTTAATGCACTGGTCAACCTAAGTATTTCCCTGAGTTCTGTGAGCTGGTCTAGCAAACAGTTAAATCCAAGGGGGAAAAGGTCATGAGAAACTCTGATTTGTAGCCAAGTCAGAAGTTGTGGGTAACCTGAAGACCTACTACGTGCAGTTGGCATGTGAGCAGTGGGGGTCTTGTGGGACTGAGCCCTTAACCTGTGGGATCTGACGCTCTCTCTCAGTAGTGTCATGGAAAATATTGCCAGTAGTTCAAAAGGATATACAATGAAAAATAAATACCCCATTTATCTCAGATACGTGGTCCTCCTCCTCAAAGACACTGATTATTACCAGTTTCATATGTACCTTTCAGGAACAGTCTGCAAATGTGAGCTTTAATACCCCCAGAGAGCTGCTCCACGCAGAGAATCATTACCACCCTCACACACATGGACGTCTGACTCTCCTCACCCATGTGGGAAGCCAGCCTGCACACCAAGGCCTTCCTGTGGAGAGTCCACCTCATCACCCTGGATTTTGGATGTTCACGGAAAACCACTCTTAGATTCCTGTCATTGGACCTGAACCCATCTGTGTGTCTTTTCCAATCAACACTTATGTGGGCCTCCCTTGTTTAACCAGGGTCAGCTTCTCTGGAGAATGATTGCTTATCTTTCTGACAATCTTCATATGCCTAACAACCTATGTTTTAAGTCAGACCATAGCAAACCTCAAAAATTTGGTGAAATTTTCTCATGATGGGGTGCACAAATTGACAAGCAGTCACAAACTTCGCTTTGTTAAATGGATAATCCTCCACTGGTCCCCTGTTCTGACCTTTAGGAAAAACAAGAGAAAACTAAAAAAAAATGAGAGCGCATTTAGCACCCTGTTCTGCACCCTGCCTTTTTTCTCTTACTTATCACTATGTCTTGAGATAGTTTTGCATTTCATATCGGTCCACAGAGTTTTGCCCTTGCATTTATAGTATAAATACTGGTTCAATTCCATTTGTGAATATACTCGGGGCTCAAATTAATAATAATCTTATTCTTTCTAAAATAAAGTCTTAATTTCTGTTAAGTATAGTGTGACCAACTCATCCCTGTGCCTGAGATTTTCTCGGTTTTATCCCTTAAAGTCCTGTGTCCTAGAAAACCCTCATTGAGCTCTGGGTGAACTGGGATGTTCGGTTACCATATTTAAGTACTGTATAAACATTAAACAAGTTTGAATGGGAGGTGGTATGTGATTTTCATCTTTGGCCTAAGACAAAACTATTAGCCAAATATTAGCCATATAAAATAAGGATTTTCCTAGGACTTTTGTTATTATTGTTGGAAACTGCCTCATGCTTTTAACTGGCTGCATAGTACTCCATTGTAGGATTTCACCATAATTTTATTAAACCTGTTCCCTACTGATGAACATTTAGTTTCTTTCCAGTGTTTTGCTGGAATAAACAAGTCTGACATAAATGTGCTTATTTATTCTGTGAACTGGTAGATTGTGCATAATAATTTTCTTTGGAAATAAAGTTTTCCTGCTAAAAACAAAACTCAAAAAGCCACAGGATTAAAGACTTTCATCTTGTGCCTTCTGTGAGTCTCTTTTTATTCAGGTGACTGACTGGGCTGAGGATGAGTTTAAAACAGGTTGGCAGCCAACGTCTAGGAAGGAAGCCCAGGCCAAGGGGAGGCTTCCTGGGGTGCATGAAGGAGAAAAACAGCCCCGTGCTGTGGCTCCCAGCATGGAGGGGGTGTTTATCAAGGCGGGTGGGAGATGAGTTGGCCAGACTTCGAGGGGTCCAGTGTTGGCTGGTAGCAGGGCTGAGAGACTGGAGCCATTCAGCTGGTACTAAAAGGAGCAGGCAGAGGAAGGAAAAACAAGCCCAGACACACACTGGGTGGCTGCCGGCTGGCCAGGGCTCTTGGTACAAAAAGTCCAGTGCCAGGCTGTGGGGCCCAGCCAGCTCTTTCCCAGGAAACCCACCCCAGACTGGGCAGGTTTAGGTCAGTTCTGAAATTATTTCTTGGGGCTATTATGAATGGATTTGTTCAGAAAATGGGATAATGCAGTACTTTTCCAGAGAGATGGGACATCGGGCCCAGAAAGGTGATTTTTCTACCATGTTCTATGTGTGATGCTTGTGTATCAATGCACTTTTATCCATCAAAGGGGCTGCGGCATCACTCTCCAAACTATTCTCTGCAGAATGCTGTTAGTGAAACACAATGTCCAAAGACAAAATAGTTTGAGAAAGGACAAGTCATCAAAATCAAGCAAAATTCTTCATTGCAGGAATTCTCAGAGCCTTCAATATGCTAATAGTATACTTCACAAATTTTCAAAAAGAAGATCTGTGTGAAAAGAGCCAGGTTTGGTGTTGGTGGAAGATGGAATGCCAAGTACAGAAGGCTGTATTTACAAGTCTTTCCCATCCTTGAGTCATTGGGTAAGGCTGATACCTTGTATCTAGGGTCCTTTCTAGAAAATGAAATGCTAAGGAGTCAGAGACAACCTGAGTCTTAGTTCACTCTACCATTCATTTGCTGATTGATATCAGAAAGTCTTTTCCCCTCTCTGAGCCTCACATTCTTCCTCTGTAAAATGAGGTTGTCAGACTATTTCAGGTATTTTCTAACTTTTTGATCCAAGGAAGCCTTCTGTCAAACATGTCTTAAGCATCATCCCATATAAAACAGATCAAAGTGGTCTTTAATCAAAATATTTTTAAGGCGATATCATATTGTTAACACAGACACGTCTGCAAGAAAAGTCAGGAATAGAGGTACTTTTAAGAGCAAGGAGGTAGTTGTGGTTGAGGTAAGGCACAAAAAGGGCTTCGGGGTGGTGGACAAATTCTATTTCTTGACATGAGTGGAAGTTATAAGCGGTATTTTCTTTAGAGTCATTCAGTAAACTTTAAAAATATTATGTTACTATAAAATCAATCAATGAGAACCCAAATATGTCAATTGGGTTTAGATCCAAGAGGTAGAAACTCCATAATAAAAGGAGCTTAAATAAGAGAGAAGTTTATATTTCTTTCATGCACATGAAGGGTGGCCATGAGCAGTCCAAGGCACTCAAAGTAAGTAAGAACTCAATGATCATCATGGACGCAAGGCTCCGTCTCTCTTTTTGTCCGTCATCTTCAACATGAGACTTTCAATGCAAAGTCCAAGATGGCTGACGGAGCTCCACCATCATGTCCACCTTAGAGCCAGCAAGGAGAGGAATGAGAAGAAGGCCATATCTTCTCACTTTAAGGAAATGCCCAGTAATAGCACTCACACCTTTACTTATATCCCATTGACCAAAACTTAATTATATAGCCATACTAACTGCGAGGGAGGCTGGGAAATGTAGTCTTCAATCTGGGTGGCCATGGACTCCCCCGACTGTAGCTTCCACAACAGAGGAAAAAGGGAAAGGTAGATTTAGATGACAACCAGCAGAATGTGCCACAACATATTAATGGATTTGGTTTCTGATATGTTGAAATTTAATGTGTGACCAATGTCGGTATCTGCTGCTTTTCAGTCACAGTTTTAAATACAGCTTGAGGTACACAAAATGAGATGAATATTCATAGTTTGTGGAACTGCAGGAGCACTCAACAGAATGTAGTTTCAAAATCCCTGAACTAGAAACTCCCTGACAGCTTTTCCAGCTTTGACGTTCTAGAATTCTGTGAAAGCCCTGCCCCCTTCCATGAGCTTACAGAGGACTTTCTCTCTGGGGACTGGCAGGGGACTTCTTGTTACCTTTGGGACTGAGAACTGTGCTCATTGTTTCTTCTGAGTCAGCACAGCCCTGGCCAAATATCTTGAAAAGCTCTCTGTCATTCGGTGGCCTTCCCTGTCAGGCTGGGCGATCCCCAAAGGAGGTGTAGTTTACTGAAGCATTAAAAAAGTGTTTCAAAGCAGTGGCTGCTTCTAAGCAGGGAGTAGCTCAGACTTTCCCCCAGTATTTCAGAGATATTTAAGGTAGAAGGGCCTACCTTTCTGACCCTTTCATTCTTCAGAGGAGGAAGCATGGATCAAAAGAGGTTCAGAGATTTATACAAAGTCATCAGCAACTTATAGCAGGGCAGGACTGGGCTGCACACTGATTTGTCTTGATGCTTTCCATTATCATTAATTATAACAGCTTGAATTTAATACACACTTTCTGTGGGCCAAGCTCTGGGCCAAGCACATCACATTTATCATTTCATTTATCCTCACAATAAACCTGAGCGGTAGATACATTATTTTCTTTTCCTTCTTGGTCATTTTGCAGTTGAAGAAATTGCAACCTAGAACTTGCCCAAGGCCACACCGTTACTCCGCTAGATCAGAATGTGAACCCAGGCAGTGGGGGTGCAGAGCCTGCACTCTGACCTCTATGCTGAGAACTATGGCCTCCACTCTGCCCTTGGCACGAGGGCAGACTTTACTATAGGGCAGGGACACTCCACCACACCACTGGGACATCACATCCCTTCGGACCACCCTTTGCCCCAATTTTATGCTCCTTCATCAACCTCTTGATGCCTAACTCAGCAGCGTGGCCCCAGGAATAAAATGCTCTGAGGTGTGGATACAAAACAGTGCAAAAGCCCGTTCCCCAGACCAGGCGGGTGTGTTGGTGTTTACCTCGGGCACCTGTCTCACCCTGTCTGTGTGAGACAGTCCTCCAACACTGCAAAAAGGATCAAATGACGTTTCAAAGCCTGCAAAGGTTCTGACTCCGGATGTGGGGACCACAACCTCGCCCAGAGGCAGCGCCGTCCCTGGGCCTTG